CAGCAACCACCTTGTTAAAATTTGGTACGAAGTTCTGATTAAAAAACACGCAAGGGGAGGCAATGGCCCAGTGGTATTATTGCTGAACTGTTAATCCAGAGACCCAAATAACATTCTGGGGACCTAAATTCAAATCCCGCCACAGCGGCTGGTGGAATTTGAATTTTAAAAAAAGCTGGAATTAAGAATCTAATGATGACCATGAATCGCTTGTCGGGAAAACCAATCTGGTTCACTCATGTCCTTTAGGGAAGGAAACTGCCATCCATACCTGGTCTGGCCTATATGTGACTCCAGACCCACAGCAATGTGGATGACTCTGAACAGCCCTCTCGGCAATTAGAGATGGGCAATAAATCCTGCCTAGCCAGCGACACCCTCATCTCGTTAATGAATAAAAATAACTCAGTCCCAGGATTCACAGAACTTCCCTTTTCATTGATATTATGGAAAACTCCCCAATAACCTTCGTTTTCAAATCCCATGGAGCCACCTTTCCACTTCCAATGACACGGCCCAGGAACATTACTTGGGTTTTTGTGAACTCACTACCCAGGTTTACCACCAAGTCTGAAGTCGATCAAACAATTTCTGTAGCTGTTCTAAATGTTCCTTCCATGTGCGACTAAATATCACCAGATTGATGTACACTACACAATTGGGTAATCCTGAAATGACGTTATTGGCTAGTCTTTGAAATGTGACTGGCACATTTTTCATACTCAATGGCATGACTTTAAACTGGTACAGTCCGTTTGATGTCACGAAAGCTGAAATTTCCTTCTCAGATAAAAGGTACTTGCCAGTACCTTCTGAGTAAGTCCGACTTTGAAATATAAGTTGCTTGTCCCACCTTCTCAGTCTTCCAAACGTGGAAGAGGATATATTATGAACTAGATCTTGTGACTGCACTGACTTTGCGATAGTCCGCACATAATTGTTAGGTACCATCTGGTTTTGGCATTATGACTATGGGTGAGCTCCATTAGCTGCAACTCACTTCAATAATATTGTCTTTGAGCATGCATTCAATCTCTCTTTTAACCTGTGTCAACTTCAGAGGGTTATTTCTGTAAAGATGTTGCTTAGTAGAACAGCACTTCCCACATCTACATCATGCACAATTAGATTGTTACTTCCCAGCTTATTCCACACATCTCCCCTTGTGATTGCAATAATTCTTTCAGTTATTTCCATTTTTCTCAATTAAAAAACAATTTTTGACAACTTCCTCATTCTCCAATTTAATTGGAGGAATTTCCAATTCAGAATCATCTGAACTTGATTCTTCACTCTGTGTTGTGACCAATAACATATTCTCCTTCTGCTTTCCTTCCCTGTCAAAAAATACCTTTTGAGCAAATTCACATGACACACAGAGATAACAAGGTGTAGAGCTGGATGAACACAGCAGGCCAAGCAGCATCAGAGGAGCAGGAAGGCTGACGTTTCGGGCCTAAACCCTTCTTCAGATTTCTTTACATCCGGCATTCTTACTAAAGAGTTCACCTCACTCAATTTCTTTTTGATCTGATAAGGCCCACCAAATCTTACCTTTTAAAGGTTCACCTGGAACTAACACCAGCACAATCTCCACAAACAAAATAACAAATTTTGATTTCTTGGTCCATTTCCTGATTCATCACATGCTGTGCACTTTCAAATGCTGTCAAGACAGCTCACCTGCTCTATTTAAACTTTCCCTAAAATTTGATACATAGTTCAAATATGTGGTCTCTGAACTCTGACTCACCAGTTTCTCCTTAAGTAATTTCAGTGGTCCTCTCACCTCATGCCCAAAAACGAATTCAAATGGACTGAACTTAGTTGATTCATTAGGTACATTCCTAATTGCAGAAAGTACAAATTGAATTCCTTGATCCCAATAATCTGGATAGACTTAACTGTAAGCCCACAACATGGTCTTTAAAGTTTGATGCCACCATTCTAGTGCGCCCTGTGATTCTGGATGGTACACAGCGGATATGAATTGTTTTATTCCTAGGCTATCCATAACTTACTTGAATAATTTTGATGTAAAATTTGACCCTTTATCTGATTATCTCTCTGTGGGTAGTCCATATCTGGTGAAAAATTTGATTACCTCTTCCACAAACCCTTTAGCTGTGATACTGCGTAATGGAATGACCTCTGGAAATCTAGTGGACATAAAAATTATGGTCAACAAATACTGATTTCCACTTATTTTTGTAGATAGGGGTCTTACATAAGATTCTTATAAAAGCTTCCTCAAATGCAGGAATGAGTATTAAGGTTGCTGGTTTATCATTGCCTGTTGTTTTCCAATTATCTGACACACATGACATGTCCGGCAAAATTCAACCACATCCCTATGCAGTCCAGGCCAATAAAATTGTTTTTGTATTTTGGCTCGAGTTTTCCTTACTCCCAAGTGACCTCCTAATGGTAATTCATGCTCTACCTGCAACATCTCCTTTCTATAATCCACCGGTAATACAACTTGTTGAACTTCTGTCCATTTCTTAATCACCCTGGATATGTGATAGTCTCCATTTCCCCATCAAGACTTCGTTTTTAAGATAGTAACATGCTGGAATACACTTACATTCTTATTCTGTGTTTGCTTTTTGGTACAACCGCTTTAGTTTTTCATCTTTCTGCTGCAATTCAGCTAACTTCTTTGAACTACAAATAGCCACTTTATCCTCCACTGTTTCTTGTTTTATCTCAACCATTTGGTCAAACATAGTCTTGGATAAATGAACTTCAACTTCCTTTTCTTTATTCTTTGATTTCTCCTCCTGTTTCCACCTATGGCTTTGTGACCTTATTACCACAGTCAGTAAAAATTCCAGAATATATTGCAACACCTCAGTTGCCTGATTTTCCACTGGCTTTTCGACCACAGTAGGCATCACTCCCATCTGTGATCCAGCAACATCATTACCAAGGATAAAGTTTATTTCTGGAACCGAGAATTTCTCTATTGCTCCTATCACCTCTTCACTCTTTCCCGCAATCTCCAACCTCACTTTATACAATGGAACACTGCTCTTCTCACCAAGAATTCCACATATTACCACTTCTTCTAGCAATACTTCTGAATTACATAGCTTTTCATCTCTCACCAAAGATTGACTTGCTCCCATATTTCTTAAAATCTTAATTTCTTTACCTACTCCTCCTGGCATACATGAGTAAACCTTGCCCATGCAAGTAAATTCTTTAAAGAGATCTGGCACTTTGTTCTCAACCAACCCTTGACCAGGTTGTGCATTCTTTTGCAGGTTTTTTTTAGCCTCTATGTGCTTTCCTTTATCATTTCAACAAAACTCACTGGCTTATCCTGTTTTCCCACATCCCTCTTCCCAGTGCTTTTTCTAAACCACTGACACTATGACTTCATGTGGCCTACTTTATTATAGAAACAAAACACCTGAGCTTTTTGATTTCTCTTTTCCCCTCATGGGTTTCCTTTCCACCCTGTGGCCATCGATCTTTACTATCTTCAATGAAATCTCCTTTTCCCTTACCACCTGAGAATTTCTCTTTTTCTCATGGAAATCCAAACATCATGAACCGACTCATAATCATCTGTCATTTCAGCTGCTAATCTTGCAGTCTTAACTCTCTGCTCTTCCACATGAGTTCTGACTACTTCAGGAAGTCAATTTTTGAACTCCTCCAAAATAATCGTCTAAGGGCATCACATGTTTGATCTATTTTCAATGCCCTTAGCCACCTATCAAAATTACTTTGTTTGATCCCTTCAAACTCTATGTATATTTGATCCGGTTTCCACCTTAGATTCTGAAAACATTGTCTGTAGGTTTCTGGTACTACCTCATGTGCACTTAAGGTAGCATTTTTCACTTCATCATACTCCCCAGATACTACATCTGATAGTAAGGCAAATACCTCACTAGCCCTACCTACCAACTTTGTTTGGATCAACAATACCATATGTCACCAGCCACTTCATTTGTTTAGCCACTTTCTTAAATGAAATGATAAAGACTTCTACATCCTTCTTTCCAAACTTAGGCAACACTTGGACATTTTTAAACAGATCCCCAACAGGCCTTTGGCTTTGATGGAATTGCTCTCCATCAATGCCTTCATCACTACTTTTACCTTTCACCTCTACTTCTGCCATTTTAAGTTGGCTTTTGAGTTTCTAGTTCCAAGCTGTGAAGTTCAAAGGTCTCTTTCTCCCTTTCTTCTGCTAGGGCCTTTCTTTCATTTCTTTTTCCTCTGCTTTTCATAATTCAAAATGCTTCATTTCCTTTTGCCTCAAGCTGCTTCATTATCAAATGAATTTTAGCCATTTCTAAAGATTCTGATGACATTCCTGGCAATTGTAAATGCTGTGTGATTGCCACAATTACTTGCCCCTTCCTCACAGACACAAGCAACACCAACTTCAACTTGTTTGCTAATTCCAAAAACTTTGCCATGCTCACTTTCTGTAATACTCCCGAAGTGACTTCTTCCACCCCCAGGAAACTCTATGTGACTGAAAGCGCCATTATTACACAAGGCAAACCCTTCTCAAACCAATCAAATGCAATACATGAGAAAAAAACACCAACACTGACACTCACTGCCTTTGAACCCAACAACCCTAAACCCAACCTAGAACTGGGGAAAGTCAGAAGTCACGATACCAGGTTATAGTCCAACAGGTTTATTTGAAATCCCAAGCTTTTAGAACACCGCACCTTCGCCAGGTGAAGTCTCACTTCACCAGATAAAGGAGCAATGCTCCAAAAGCTTGGGATTTCAAACAAACCTGTTGAACTATAAACCTAGTGTTGTGTGATTTCTGACTTTGTCTACCTAAGTCCAACACCAGTACCTCCACATCATAGAATTAGAGATTTGATACTGACAAGAGCCCCCAATTCGTTATGGGCCAGACTGAAGCCCCCTTGCAGTATATTAAGTAGTCTAAGCCCTAACATTTTCTTATTTAAAAAAGGTAAGTGTAAGGCATTGCATTCCAGTCAAACTACCAGTCTTGAAGCAAAGTACACTTTATTCATACACTACAGTTAAAATACAACAAAAGAAAGAAGGAATTGGAATAACTTAAGTCTATTAGAAACTTAACAGAATAATAGATTATTTAACTACTAAACAGTAACATGTTCCAATATAGTAACATTCTATAAACACACCCTTGACAAAGGCAAATTCAGTAAAATAGACTATCTCATATGCAATTCTAGCAGTAGGAAGACAGCCCAAGCTTTTAGCTGCAGCAGAGAGAGGAAAAATAGTTTCCACATCCAGCTTCATGAGCTTAGCAGTAACTGCTGCTGAAGGCTAAAGCTAAAAATCCTGTTCTGCAGGAGCGTGAGCCCACCCATTCAGGCTGCTTCTATTGTTCTAACTTTTTAAAAAAAACCCAAGGCCTCACAAGCTGTTTACTTTACTGGCTGGAGCAGACTGCTTTTCACCTCGGTCTCAACCTTTTTCATAAAAAAAGAGAAAATACACCTCTTAAAATCATAGTATCACCACAGAAGTTATCAAGTAGAAACTGGACACATTTCATGGAAACACTGGAGGGGGAAAAAAGACAGAGGGGAACTAAATTCTCAGATCCTCCTGCACACCTTCAAGGCCAATGATCACTGGCCTTGTCAGTGAAACTCACATCATATGAGCAAATTATAAACAAAAAATGAGTGCCAATTATAGCAGACAAAATTGCTAGTGGAGGGTAGGTGGGGCTAAGAGTGCAAAACACAAAAGCAATTTTGTTTACCATCAAAAGTACTTTTCCCCAGGTCAAGTTATTGCTTTATCAAGTTAACTTGTTTGTTTCTGCATAACATTCTTCATTATCCCTATAATTGCAGTGAACATTGTATCAGCAGTGTTGTAAGATTTTCCGTGTGATGTAGATTAAATAAAAAGTTGTTTGTTAGTTTTAAAGTGATCAATTAGATTTTGAATGCATTACACAAACACTTGCAATATGGACTTGCCCAAACCAACATCACAATACTACTAAAAGGATGTCAACAAACTGTTCTGAAAGACGTCTTTCTTTGTATTTCAGCGATAATACAAATTGCTTCACAAGTGAAAACAATGCTCCGTCTTGCTGCATTCAGAAGGTGGTCTCTGTCTGTCAGTTTGTAGCACTCTTTTCCAACTCTACATATGCAGTTAGAATGAATCTACTTCTTCAACCAGAGCCAACTGTTGACAAAACAAGCTGCAATGATGATGGAATACAGCACAAATTCCTTTCGAGCATGGTCCCGACTTTCCTGTTCCAATAATTGTAGGCGCCGATTCAACTTGTTCAACTGAAAGAGAAAAAGTTTGACCCTATTGCGCAATGAAGAAGTTCAATGCCAAAATAAAAACTGTAAATTATTCCTTTTCTTTTCTTCCCCCTTTCTCAGGGATTTAAAATAAATCTCTATAAACTGGGAGGTCAATGTAGTGTTAAAAGTTATTTTCTCTAGGGTTTGAAGTTGCTTTGTAGTCTAACATTTTGGGCAAAGTGTCCAACATTCATACTGCATGCTATGTTCGGAAAACATTTTCCAGGTAAAGATACACACAGCTCTGAAAACATAACTAAACCCCAAATCCAGGGAAGTTTCTGTTCCTGCAACAGTCTAATCGTCATACTCATCATACTTATACATGTAAACGTTGCTGTTCAAAACTTTTTACCTGACGCCGAAGTGTTACAATTTCCATGACACTGAAATTTTCAATGATTCCTTCAGGTACTGTGTAGTCATGGGCCATGCTGAAAAATTAAAAGGCAAACATAAACTTCACTCTTCTCCAATAGTGGTTTTAGGAGAGCACTCCTCAATCTCTGAATTACAATTATTACGCAGAACAGAGCTTGTCAAACTTCAACCTTCAGATTTATAGTAAAATTTCAACTACTAGAAAAGGCTTTATCAGCCAGCACAGACTTAATAACACAAATAAATTCTACAAATCTACAAATAAACCTGCTCAACTAAATTCTGCAACCCATATCATAATGCACACCATCCCACTCACCCATTATCCTTCTCCTTGTTGATGTGCATTGACTCCCTGTCACCTAGTATCTTAAATTTTAAATTTCAATAGTCAACATGCTAAACTGCCTTCATAGCTTTACTCTACAGCATTCTCCAATCTCTTTCAGCCAGACAACCAAACGTATCTCCGTGAACTCTCCATTCTTATGGATCTGACTTTGTGCATGCTCCATTTTCTTTGTTCCACACTTAACGTTGTGTCATGTTCCATCTAGGTCATCCACACTAAATTTAATCCTTGAATATCTTGGACCGGATACATTCCTTCCCAAAATTCATTTCTTTGGCATAGCTCTGATCACCCCTCCCAATTTTTTCTGAAATTGCATCTATGAAGCATCCCAAGATAGCTCTCAACATTAAAAGGTACTGTAAGAAATGTAAGAATTAGGAGGAATAGGTCGTTTAGCCTTTCAAGCCAACTATGTCATTCATCAAGATCACAGCTGATCTTCCACCTCAAATCCACCTTCCTGCACTATTTCCATATCCTTTAACGCCCAAAGCAATTAATGTTGGTCTTGAATACAATCAACATCCACCAGTACCTGGAGTAAAGAATTCTAAAGAGTCACAACTGAGTGAAGAAATTTATCTTCAATTTGGTTGAGTCCTTATTCTCTGACAATGTTCATCCTTTCAGTTAGGGTAAGCATTTCCTCAGCAGCAACACTGTAAAGCCCCATAATAACTGTACATTTTTCAATTAGAACTTCTAAAATCCAGGAAATATAGGCAGTGTGTATTCAACATCTTCTCAGAGGCTAGTCTCTTATTCTTGGAACCATTCCAGTGAACCTTTGTTACACTCAGCTTAGGCCAAGTAAGTTATTCATTAGTTAAAGAGACCATAACTATATGCAGCCTTCTTTGCATGTCCTCACCAGTTCCCTATACAATGGTAGTAAGATGTCTTTTCACAAGTCAACAAAAGATAATATCCCACATCTTTATAATTGCTTGCTGTAACAGCATTATAACTTAGTAATTCACGTACAAGGACACCCAGGTCTCTCTAATATGCTAACATTGCCCAGTTTTCTACCATTCAAAAATACTCTGCTTTTAAACATTTCACATTTCACTGTATTGCATTCCATCAGCCATGTTCATGTCCACCCGTCCAACCTGTTTCTAGCTCTATGTAGTTTCTCTGCATCATCCTCAGCATTTATTTTCCTATTAACAAATTTGAATACTTACTCAGTCCCTTCATTTTGGCCACATCGATAAATTGTAAAAAGCTGAATATCAAGCACTAGCTACAGAAAGTCAATCTGAAAGTATTTGTTTATTCCTATTCTTCTTACTGTCCATTAACAAGTTCTCAATCTCTGCCAGTATCTAACCCCGACCCTTAAGATCTAATTTTCTGCAACAATCTGCCGCATATGCCTTTTGAGAACCTAAACATATTACAATATTGCATCTACTGGTTCCTCCTTAACCATCCTACTAGTTACATCCAAAAAGAACTTGTCTGATTTTGCAAACCCAATTTTCCTTTAATAAACCATAAATGTTGGCTTTAATTAACCACAGTATCATTTTCTAAGTGTCTGCTACTGTGTTCCTAATCGTAAATGCTAGCATTTTGCCTATGATGAATGATAGTCTAACAGGTCTATAATTGCCGTTTTTGCCTTTCCCTCTTTTCTTAAATAACAGGCTTATGTTTGATACCTTTTAATTCATGGGAACTGCTCGAAGAATCCAAGGAATCCTGGAACTACACTAAGAATCTAACAAACAACTTGTTGGTACGTTGCAACAATCACAATCGTTTTTTTCTACTTTTGAAATCCCACAAAGATACAGGAATATCAATCCAGCAGTAATTATACTTGAAATACAAGTAACTTCCTGAGAAGGGCTTTCTGATATCTCAAATGATACACGCAGTTATATATAAATGTAAGTCTTTTATTGTAGAGAGATATTTTAATACAATTATGACAAAAACTAATGAATTGAAGCTCATTCAGTGAAATCACATCCTGCAGTGACAGACCCACTGAATCACAATCTATTCACTTCCTTGGAACTAAAGAAACAGCTCAGCCTTTGATAAACAGGTCTCCGTTCACTCTGGAACAAATATATGACAGACCATAATAATAGACCACAAGATAGGAGTAGAATTAGGCTATTCAGCCCATTGAGTCTGCTCTGCCATTCCTCAACCTCATTCTCCTGCCTTCTACCTGCAGCCTTTGATCACCTTACTAATCAAGGCCCTCTCTTTGTCTTAAAGACACTCAATGACTTAGCCTTCACAGCCTTCTGTGGTAATGAATTCCACAGATTCACCATCCTCTGGTTGAAGAAATTCCTCCTCATCTTGGTTCTAAAGGGTCGTCCTTTCACTCTGAGGTTGTGCCCTTGGGTCCCAGTCTGTCCTACTAGTGGAAACATTATCCATATCCACACTATCCACGCCTCTCAACATTCCGCAAGTTTCCATGAGATCCCCCTCATCCTTCTAAACTCTATGGAGTACAGACCAGAGTCCTCAACCTGTCCTCATATGACAAACTTTCATCCCCAGGATCATTCTATTAAACTTCTTTTGGACCGCTTCCAGGCCAGCACATCATTCCTTAGAGTTAGAGCCCTAAACTGCTCACGATATTCCAAATGCAGCACATCGCTGCTCTTGTATTCTAGCCCTCTCAAAATGTATGCGAACATTGCATTTGTCTTCCTAATTTCCAACTAAACCTGCAAATTAATCTTAAGAACCATGAACTAGGGCTCCTAAGTCCCTTTGTACTTCAGATTTCTTTCCCCTATTTAGAAAATAGTTTATCCCTCTACTCATTCTTTCAAAGTAGATAACCTCAAACTATCCCACATTATATTTTATATAAAAACCGAAAGAACTGCAGATGCTGTAAATCAGGAACAAAAGCAAGCAGAAGTTGCTGGAAAAGCTCAGCAGGTTTGGCAGCATCCGTGAAGAAAAATCGGACTTGAGAGGTTAACTCCGATTTTTCTCCACATATGCTGCCACACCTACTGACCTTTTCAGCAACTTCTGCTTTTGTTCCATAGTACATTCTATTTGCTACTTCTATGCCCACTCTCTTAGCTTGTCCAAATCCTTCTGCAGCCACCTTACCTCCTCAACACTACCTGTCCTTCAGTTTTTTTGTCATCTGCAAATTTAGTAATAATGTCCTCAGTTTCTTCATCAAGATTGTTTATGTACAACGTGAATAGTTGTGGTCCCAACACTGACCCCTGCGGAACTCCACTAGTTACCAGCTGCTTTCCTGAAAAAGACCCCCCTATCCCCACTCTCTGCCTCTCTATCCATGCCAGCACCTTGCTCCTAACATAGAATAGAATCATAGAATCCCTACAGTGTGGATTATAGGGTGTTATCTTATTTAGCAGCCTCCTGTGCGACACCTTGACAGCTCTTCGAAAGATTGGTACACCAGTATATAAACTACCTTGGCAGATTATAGGCTCGTGACACCTGTATTTATCACATCAAGTTAGCAAGGAATTCCTCAGGTACAATGTGAACGGACCATTTGCACATAAAGCTGACAAAGTAAATTTTTAAAAATAAAATGTTGATATTTAGACTGTCTTCTAACAAGAAACAAATCAATCTATTTATTATAGGTATAGGACTACTCAATCATTGTCCTTGAAATGCGTAACAGATACTGAAATTGTTTTATTGGCAACAGCTTATGAATTGGAAACTTCAACATACAGTCAATTTTTTTTCATTAATGGGTATGTTAATAATAAATATGTATCTCTTCCTATGTACATAAAACTATCCTTTGCTTATTTTAAATTAGAGTTATTATTCTTTACTCCAGTTCAAATGGTCCAAATTCCTGAGATTTTTATATTCTTAGTGATATGATAAATTTTGCAATGCAATGAATGGTATTTATGAATACAATGTGTAACTATACAACATTGTAACTGCATGAAAGAACCAAAAGGTACAGCAGGATTCAAGAGAGAAAATGTATTTTCATGGAATACGAGCATGACTAAGCAAGGAGTTTTTGAGATTGGGAAAGAGTTAGCAAGACTTGTTGCAAGTGTATTCCAAAGTGTGAAGGTGTGATAGTAGAAAACTCTGCGTCTATATATGAAGGGGCTAAGGATTCAAATTAGTTGAGGCTCAACGGGATGGAGATACAAGTTCAGATGTAGAACTGAAATAGGATGAACAATGTACAGAGCCAATTGGAAAATTGTAAACAAAAACAAGGAATAACAAACAGGGGAAAAAGAAAAAAAAAATCAGGAATGGGAAAGGGAAAAGGAACAAAATTTTTGTACAAATCTTCAATTCTGTCTCATACAAAGCTATGCTTGTGTACATTTTTAGTAAATAACCTTGCTTGAGAGTAAATAGGAGCTGTAAAAAGTAAGTGGAGCATTCCATTTTTACTTCCTTCCCCAATCACACATGATACACTCAAGGTTTAATGTACATGTGCGCCAAAGTAGTTTTACTGATTTGATTGGAAGCAATCTGGATACAGTTGATAGATGTAAATGTTACATACAGTCATAGGTTTTTTTCATTGTACAGTATTTACAGCAACATAAAAAGGTGCAAGGAAGGAAAATGAGACAAAACCATAGCATGTTAACGCAAATGCATCAACAAAGTAAACATGCCAATCACCTTTGATTCCTTGATTGATTCATTCCATCCGAATACACGCTGCCTGAAAGGGACTGGTTATAGAACCGATTCCTTAAAGTGGAAAAATAAATTGGATTGGCCATAGAAATATCAGCTAATTCAAAGCAACTAAATATCACAAAGCCGCTGCACAACTTTGACATTTTTCCATATTTCTCGCTGACTTTATTTTATAGAATCTTTTGCTAAAGGAATTGGGTGGGGCATAAAAGTGTGGCAAGTCACTTCCCCTGACATTTACCAACGCTGTATTGGTAGAAAGCTAAATTTGTTCAAGGTAAAAGAGGCCTGCAAAGGCAAACAATAACTCAGCAATTGATTTGATCGTCCCAACACTAACACCAGCAGATATCAATCAAACCCATGTAGAGGTTGCTGGCATTGACTCAACTCTCTACCACACCATCTCTAAGATAACTGATGCTATTCATAAATATTTACAGCCCCATCACATGTTCTACACATACCAAAAGTGTAACTCAAAATAAAAAAGGTACATCATTCAATATTAATTGAATATCAGTACTGAGAATACCAGATGTTCATACTCAGAACAGTCTGTATTTTGCCACAACGAGCCATATATGTATATAACTCGACTGAACAGTTTCAAACCCACTCTCTGTGGTCCATTCTATCATGGCGGATAAATTAAAATGGAAATAGTAACCTCTTTTTAACTGAGAACATGTCCTCATCATGTTCTGGTTTCTCCAGAGAAAAGATGCACAGGTTATTTTGTCAGGAAGTGTGCAAAATTAACCTGGGAATAATACACCTTCCCAGCAATTATTGCTGCAAAATTCAGAGAATACTGGAGAAACTCACCAGGTCTGGCAGCATCTGTGGAGTGAAACAGGGTTAACATTTTGAATCTAGTATGACTCTTCCTCAGAAGATGACTTCTGAAGAAGTCATATACGACTTGAAACATCAACTATGGTTTCTCTCTCCACAAATGCTGCCAAACCTGCTGAATTTCTCCAGTATTGTGTTTGCTTCAGATTTCCAGCTTTTTTGTTTTCATTGCAGCAAAATTACCCCCTTTACCAACAAAACAAAACTTCTGATAAAAAGACGACAATAACAGTGACTTTAGTCAACAAATAAACTAGAAAAAGATAGATTGGCAGGTGTAGCCCGGATGAGGAGTTCATAGCAAGACAAAAATTGCAGGTGAAACTGAGCAGGTCTCAATGAGACCATATTAGAGCAGTACGGTGGCTCAGTGGTCAGCGCCACTGCCTCACAGCACCAGGGAGGCGAGTTTGATTCCACCCTTGGGCAACTGATTGTGTGGAGTTTGCAAGTTCTCCCCATGTCTGCGTGGGTTTCCGCCAGGTGCTCCAGTTTGCTCCCACAATCCAAAGATGTACAAGTTAGGTTGTTTGGCCATGTTAAATTGCCCAGAGTGTTCAGGGATGTGTAGGTTAGATGCATTAGCCATGGGAAATGCAGGGTTATGTGGATGGGTCTGGGTGGGATGCTCTTTGGAGGGTCGGTGTGGACTTGTTGGGCCAAATGGCCTGTTTCCACTCTGTGGGGCATCTTATGATCTGTTATTGTTGGAAAAAGCTATCTAGTTCAAGGAAGGAAATCTGCCTTCCTCACCTGCTCTGACCTACATGTGACTTCAGACACACCAGAATGTGGCTGACTTTCAGCTGCCCTCTGAAATTGCATGGCGAGCTACTCGGTTGAATCAATCTCCATAAAGTCTCAACAAAGGAATGAAACCAGGTCACTATCTGGCATCAACCCAGAAAGTAGACAAGACAGAAGAGACAACTGCAGAGCAGCCCTTCAACCCTGCGAAGTCCTCCTGACCAATATCTGGGGGCTACAAAACTGGGAGAGCTGTCTCACGGACTAACCAAGCGACAGCCTAACATACTCATGGAACTATACCTGACAGACAATGTCAGTACTCCATGTTGAACAACTCTTGGAGAATGCAGAGAGTGGCAAGGGTGCAAAATATCCTCTGGGTGGGGGTGTTTCAATGTCCACCACCAAGAGTGGCTCAGCAGCAGCATGACAACTGCTAGACTGGGTCTGTGGCAGATGGTGAGGGAACCAACAAGAGGGGAAAACATACTTGACCTCATCCCTACCATTTGCCAATCATCTGACCAGTAAGAGTGACCATCACACAGTCCTTACGGAGACAAAGTCTCATCTTCGTATTGAGAATACCCTCCATCATGTTGTGTGGCATTATCACCGTGCTAAATGGGATAGATTTTGAGCAGATCTAGCAACTCAAGACTGGGCATCCATGTGGTGCTGTGGGCCATCAGCAACAGAATTGTACTCCAGCACAATCTGCAACCTCATGGCCCAGCATATCCCCTATTCAACCATTACTATCACGCCAGGAATCAACCCTGGTTCCGTGGAGACCACAAGAGCACATGCCAGCAGCAGCACCATGCATACTTGAAAATGAGGTATAAACTTGGTGCAGCTACCAATCAAGACTACTTCATACCAAACAGCATCTGATACAGCTAAACAATCCCACAACCAATGGATCAGATCTAAGCCCTGCAGTTCTGCCACATCCAGTCATGAGTGGTGAATGGGAAATTAAACAACTCACTGGAAAAGGGGGCTCCACAAATCCTCAATGATCCCCAACATATTAGTGCAAAAGACAAGAATGAAGCATTTTCAGCAATCTTCAGCCAGAAGCGTCAAGCAGATGATCCATCTTGGCCTCCCCTAGTGGTCCTCAGCATCACAGATGGCAGTCTTCAGTCAATTCAATTCACTCCATGTGATATCAAGAAATGATTAGGGGCACTGGATAGCAGAAAGGCTATGGGGCCTGATAACATTCTGGCAATAGTACTGAAGAGTTGTGCTCCAGAACTTGCCGCTCCCCTAGCCAAGCTCTTGCATTACAGTTATAACACTGGCATCTACCCGACAATGTGGAAAATTGCCCAGGTATGTCTCGTACAAATAAGCTGGACAAATCCAACCTTGCCAATTACCACCCCATTAGTCTTGATTATCAGTAAAGTGATGAAAGATGTCAAGAGCTATCAAGCAGCATCTGCTCAGCAATAACCTGCTCACTGACGCCCAGTTCTGAAGAAGGGTCACTTGTCCTGAAATGTTAACTGCGCTATCTCTCCACAGATGCTGCCAGACTTGCTGAGTTTTTCCAGCAATGTCTGCTTGTGTTTTTAATTTCCAGCATCAGCAGCTCTTTGCTTTTTTTGAAATATTATTCTTGGAATTGTGCAATGTGACAAAATTAATGACCTCAGAATAAAAGCAGTAGTAGTGTACTGAGTTTGAAAGAGAAAATATTGCATTTAAGATTAGTATGTTAGACCTAAATAAGCACAACAGAGTGGGCAGGAAAGCTGAGCTAGCTGAAATTAACTGGCTTATTTGGTTAGAGGGTTTATCAATCGTGATGCAGTGGCAAGCATTTAAGGTGATATTTCAGAATACTCAGAATAAATAGATTCCCACTAAAGAAATTAGGGAAAGTTTCAAGCTTAAGGAAAAACCATACAACTGTGCAAAGATGAGTGGTAGGTCAGATGATTGATCAGTATTTGAAAAACACCAGAAAATGACTGAAAAGTTAATTAAGAGGAAGAAACTGATGTGAGTGGGAGCTAGCTGGGAGCGTAAAAACAAACAGGAAAAGCTTCTGCCAATATTTAAATAGGGAAAAAGAAGTAAATAAAGTGAGTATTGATCCTGTAGAGAGCGCGCGCAAGAGAGAATGAGAGTTAATAGTAGATAATAAATTAAATGAACAAATATTTTGCTTTTATTTCACGGTAGAGAATACAAAATAAAACAGTAACAGGTACAAATCAGGAGGTGGAAGGGAAGAGGAATTTTGTGAACTTACAATCACAAGTAATACTAACCAAAGACTGGAAAGTATTATTCCATCAGACTGGAAAGTATTAAATATATTGTACCTCTATTCAAGGAGACAGGGCAGCAGAAAACAGGGAACTATACCTTGACGTCTCTTATGGGAAGGTATTCAAATCAATCATTTGTGATTATAGCTGCACACTTCGAAATTTCAAATAATTGGCAAGATTCAGCATGGCTTTGCTAAAGCAAAATCATGTTCAATCAATTTATGTAACTTCTTTGAAGGAGTAACGTGCTGCAGATAAGGAGGTGACGTAGTGACATACTACACTTAGATTTACAGAAGGCATCTGATAACATGTCATATTAAAAAGTTATTGTGAAAAAGCTCAGTGTAGGGGGTACCATACCAGCGAGGATAGAAGATTGGCCAACTGGCTTACAGAAAACTGAGAAAGCATAAAACGTTCTTTGATTGGCTGTATGTCCCACAGGAATTTGTGTGGGACCTGGTAGATGAAGTACTACATTGGAAAACGTAAGGTTGTTCATTTTAGCCAGAAGAATTTAGAAGCAAAGAATAACTGAAATGGAAAAAAGACTGTGGAATTCTAAGGTGCAGATAGATTTAAGTATTCTAGTGCATGAGTCACAAACATGCAAATACAGCACAATCAAGAAGGTCAATAGGATGCTATATTTTGAGAGGAATTGACCATAAAAGTAAGGAAATTATGCTTCAGTTAAACAGTGCATTGATAGACCATATCTCAAATACAGTTTTGGTTTTCTTATTTAACAAAGAACATAAATGCTTTGTAGGCTTACTACGATGGTGCCTGGAATGAGTGGGTGGACTTATGAGGATAGGTTGATGTGGAGATGCCGATGTTGGACTGAGGTGGACAAGGTCAAAATTAAAAAAAAAAAATCACATGACACCAGGTTATAGTCCAACAGGTTTATTTGAAAATGCAAACTTTTGGAGCTCAGCTCCTTCCTCAAGCGTAGTGAATAAGACACAGAATTTATAAGCAGAAAGGTAACAACCCTAAAACTGGAAAGGTAACAAGGCAGTAGGAACTGCTGATGCTGGAGAATCTGAGACAACTAGGTGTATCTTTCTGAAGAAGGATCTAAACCCAAAACGTCAGCTTTCCTGCTCCTCTGATGCTGCTTGGCCTGCTGTGTTCATCCAGCTCTACACCTTGTTGTCTAAGGTAACAAGGTAACTGGATAGGTTGGGCAGACTAGGCTTATATTTGTTGGGGTTTAGAACTGAGGGGTGACCTGTTTGAAGTGGAAAGATCCTGAGCGCTCTTGACAAGGAGGACATGGAAAGGATGTTCCCTCTTGTGGGCTAGTTCAGAACTAAGAGGCACTGTTTGAAAATTACGGATTGCTGTTCTAGGACAGAGATGAGGAAAATCTATGAGGCTTTGAAATTATCTGTCTCAGAAGATGGTAAAAAGGGGGTCACTAAATCTTTTTAAGGCATAAGTAGATGGATTCTTAAATAAAAACAGAAATTGCTGGAGAAACCCAGCAGGTCCGGGAAAACCTGTAGAGAAACAAAGTTAATGTTTCAAGGCCAATGACTCATCAGACTCAAATGTTAAATCCATTTCTTTCTCTCCACAGATGCCGCCAGACCTGCGTAGTTTCTCCACTTACTGCTTTTAGTTGGGATCTCCAGCTTTCGCAATATTTTGTTTAGAATACAGATTCGTTAGGCAAGGAAAGCAAATGTTAATCGGGAATAAACAAGAACGTGAAATTTGAAATGCACACAGATCAGCCATAATCTTATTGAATGGTAGAGTAAGCTTGAGGGCCCAAACGATCTACTTAAACTGTCAGTCGCATGTTCGTAATCTAAAAACATGGAAGGCCAAGCAATTACAAGCACAAAGTTAATTACAGACAGTTAACAGACGGCAAGTTTTATATTAGATAGATACACAAGAGAGTTAGGTCTTTCACTGGCTTCTTCAACAGTAACTGCAATGATAAAGGGTCAAAGCATTTTGCAGCTTAAGTGGTTCCAGAGTATGGTGCACATTGCTCAGGCCTTAGCTTCCTCAACTAGATCATTTGCTGACACTGATCCTACTTTAAATCTGTAGCTGAGTTATGACTGAGTTAAAATTGTCTCCAAATTCCTTCTTCTCTCAATTTCCTGCTGATAGAAATTGATATTAAAGGACTATGTTCAGCTACATTAGCAAGGCACCATTTGGTAGTTCATCCTTTATTCCTTTCCTCCACCAAAAATGAAGAACAATTTTAGTCTCCACACCGAAGGTTCATATGCAATATTCTGAACCTCTCCATGCATAATATATAACTCTTTATTTCAACTTGTGAGACTGACAATTTCTGATTAGACTGTTAACATTTTACTCGTATTTCACAACAAGTCAGTGCTTGTTGGCTTCAGCAAAAGCTTCAAAGCACACAAACATCACAATGCAAATCCAACGCTTTCAACTATGGCAGGTGGGAAACGTGGCATTAAACAGGTCTTCATTTAGCTCATGCAGTACTTAATCAGGGTTATCAAATACTAAAAAAAAAATCGGCACAAGAATGGAATGGTGTTCTCATCCTACAGTGTTCAGAAGCACAGAAATTCCCCTTACAAGTTAACATGCTTCACAAAAACAAGGGTTAAGTCAGAACATCATGACCCAGCAGCAGGATGGTTATGTTTTACCAAAAAAAATTGTGAATTATCAGAATGTTTCCCTGAATTAGAGGAGTAAGGTTAGTATTGATGGCAAAGCATACAATCAGATGCATAAATTGTTATTGGAAAACGGTAACAATTAACAAGCTTATAAAGTGATGCACTCAAGCACAGCTTAATTAAGAATATTAGCACGAACACCAAAAAAATTCATTGGTGTTATACAAGCTAATTCCAATCACCTTCTTTGCATTTTCTGATTGACTGTTTCCATCAAGTATTCTGTTAGTTTGTGTCCAATATAAATTACTACATTGCACACATTATGAATTGAAAAGGATGCCTGGCCTGGTCCAGGTGAAGGGAAGGGATGTATTGGACCACTGGAGTGATCAGTCCTATAGAATGGATAAAGTATAACATAGTTAAAGCAAATGAGTGACTAGTACAGGGATATTGTTCAAGTAATTTTCTGTAAAATATTGCATTGCAGGATATAGCAAAATATTTCAGATGTAACTTGCATATACAATGGCTGGTACACATTAAAAACAAATGCTTTGAACAACCATTCAAATTGTTCAGTCATCCATTTCTTTGCTGTCTGTTTTCAATTAGTGGCCTTGAGGTTAGATTAAAAGGACTTGGTTAAAAAAGAATGTTCTGTGGTCACTTTACATTGTTCAGAAAGACTGATATCTATTAGAATGAACTAGAGATTACAATAAATTTAGAACATCCTTCATTGCATTTAGAAAAAGGACCATATGTTCTTTTCTTTAACAGAGTGGTTAGTAGAGTTTTTTTTTGTTAATATTTATCAAATAAACTTAATCTGTCAATTATGAAGTTGTACAATGAGACAGAGATTTCAGAGGATCTCACGAAAGGTGCAACTGGTGCCAGTGTGGCTCAGTTGGTAGGACTTTCTCTTCTGAGTCAGAAGATTCTAGGTGCATGTATGGATCGAGCTGCCACAGGAAGTGGTGGAGCTGGGTACAATTGCAATATTTAAAAGGCATCTGGATGGGTATGTGAATAGGAAGAGTTTGAGGGACATGGACCAAATGGGATTAGGTCAAATTGGGATCCCTGGTCCGCATGGACGGGTTGGACCAAAGGGTCTGTTTCTGTGCTGTACAACTATGACTATGTGAAACCCAATTGAGACTAGGGCATAAAAATCAAAGATGACTTTGAGGGAGTGCTGCCCTATTGCAGGTGTCAGATTTCAGATGAGACACTAAACTGAGACCCTCACAGAGATGCAAAATATCCAATAGCATTATTTTGAAGAAGCTAATCCTGGTGTCCTGGCCAATATTAATTCTTCAATTAACACCATAGATTTTCTGGTTATTATCAAATGGCTGTTTGTGGGAACTTGCCGAATGCATGGCTGCTGCATCTCCGAAATTATAATAGTGACTACACTGCAAAAGATATTTCACCGCCTGCAAAGTCGTCTGAGATGTCTGATGATAAGTGAAAGTTGAGTCAGAAAAGGCACTAAATAAATGCAAGCGTTTATTTTTACACTGCACTGTAGACATGTCAATGCATGCATTTTGCAAACCTATCCAAAGTTTCATTTCTGCATTCAAAAATGTTTATGTTCAATAAAATAGAATAGATAGTGAATATGTGCATAATGGCAATTACTTTGCAGTTAACACTCCACAGCTGTGATATTAGCTATGGCAGTGATTTTTTAAGAAATTATAGGGTTTAGAAGTGAGGCCTTAAGCAGCATGTTCTTCAGTTCTGGGAAGGCTGTATGTTCCACACTATTTAAAAATGAACTCTTCTTGTTCCGTGGTGATTATCAAGTCTTGATAGGATTGTGAGATTGTCTGTGATTGTATGGTTATCTGGCCATCGGGTGATCTAGTAATAGATAGCAAAATTAAAAGATTTTTGGTGCTTCCAGAGACTTCCAGTCGTCATTTCTTTACATCCAAAATTAACGAGCAGCTTTTGAGCCTTAAATCGATGCAATGTCAATTAAAAATATTAACAGATCCAGAAATTACTGATTGGTTTTAATGTTTACCTGTAAAGTTAATTTTTCGTATCTGTTTTTGGTTAATAAATGGGAAGATGGTCTTTGTTGAAGATTAGAATATATTTGGCATTGTGAGCTGATTTAAATCTCACTACATCTTCTCACCAAGATTCTGAAAAAAAATGCATCTTATTTTTGTGGTTTTTAAAATCTGGACTACAAGGAAAAAGAACTGTTTTTAAAAATAGAGTTTACTAGGATGGCTGTATAATTTCACAGCAAGGAATTCAATGCTGTTATGAACTCTGTCTTTTGTGGCTATCGGTTTTTATAAAGGGCAGACAATGAGGGGCTGATGAATTGTGTACAAGAGAAAACTGACCGGGTTGGAACTGGAACCAAGTTAGAAAGACACAGAGGAAAATACAGAAGTGTGCTGTTGTTCTCATCAGCAGAAACTGCTGTTAAAAACTCAGTTTAAATTGAAGAAATTAGTTTCGTTTCCTACAGCAGCTGCTGCGGGCACAGACATTTCCCGAGTGAATCAGTCACTCGGTACTTCTTACAAACCAGTGAAGGCCTCCAAAAAGAACAAGACATCTGAACACCAAGGGCCTGGAATCTCAACATTGGAATTGGGAAGCAAAGACAACAGGGGGAGGGGAGGGGCTGGTTTGTGCGTGTGTGTAAAGAGGGAGTTTATTAGAATTTTACTTAGTAATCTTATATGCCAAAGGATTTTTTAAAAATATTAGTTTCATTAGACTATAGTCACAAGTACTTATAATAAATTTGTTTAGTACAGAAACCTGGGCGATGCTTTCTCGTGCCCAATGGTATGAAAATTAGGGAAATTTGCGTACCATGTATAATTTTAAAAAACCTTTAACATTTTCTATGACTCCAAGAATAACAAGGCCCAACTTATACCCTACCCCAGTGGGTCGTAATAATTCTGAAATTCAAATGCAAGAAAAGAGTAGGTCTTGCATGCAGCATTTCCAAATCCCAGAATAACCAGCCTTTTCAACTCAGATTATTTCAGGAATTTTGATAAGGGCTGTGCCTCCTATGATCTGGGTCAAACTAATTTTGTACATGAACCTGCAGTCTCTGATGTAACATGGGTATGTGTTGAGCCACTCTACTATTCAGCCTAGGTATATACAAAAGAAAAAAGTCTGATAAAGTTTATTTTATTTGGGATTAAATTATTCATAATCCACTTGATCTTTTCCATTAGTGGAGTGATAACAACTGTAAAATCATTGGCTTCAGTAAAGTTATTAACCTTCCCATTCCATATTGGGTTACTCTTCATTCCAGTCTCTGAGAATGCTATATTTATCGTTATTTTAACTGCGCACAACATCACAAAACAGACAAAATCAACATGTTGCACTTACAAATTCCTCTGTCGCCTTGACACACTTGATAGACAAATTTCATTCTCACTTAATGTTCGTTGTCTACTAGAATGTTGGGTAGTAGCAGTCTGTAACAAAATAACATTTTATATTGTTTCAGAGATAGTAGGAACTGCCGATGCTGCAGAATCTGAGACAACAAGGTGGAGAGCTGGATGAACACAGCAGGCCAAGCAGCATCAGAGGAGCAGGAAAACTGATGTTTCAGGTCTGGACCCTTCTTCAGAAATGGGGGAGGGGAAGGGGATTCTGAAATAAAGAGAGAGAGAGGGGGAGGCGGATGAAAGATGGATAAAGGAGCAGATAGGTGGAGAGGAGACGGACAGGTCAAGGAGGCGGGGATGTAGACAGTAAAGGTGAATGTAGGTGGGAAGTTAGGATGGGGGTTGGTCAGTCAAGGGAAGACGGACAGATCAAGGAGGCAGGGATGAGGCTGGTAGGTAGGAGGTGGGGGTGGGGGTTGAGGTGGGAGGAGCAGAAACGTGGGAGAAAGGACGGACAGGTCAGGGAGGCGGGGACGAGCTGGCTGGTTTTGGGATGCGGTTGGGGGCGGGAGATTTTGAAGCTTGTGAAGTCCACATTGATACCATTGGGCTGCAGGGTTCCCAAGTGAAATATGAGGTGCTGTTCCTGCAACCTTCGGGTGGCATCGTTGTGGCACTGGAGGAGGCCCAGGATGGACATGTCGTCCAAGGAGGGGGAGGGGGAGTTGAAGTGGTTCGCGACTGGGAGGTGCAGTCGTTTGTCGCGAACCGAGCGTAGGTGTTC